TCAGCAGGATGGTGACGGGGCACTGCATAATCCTGAATCATCAGAGAAAGCATTGATGATATTTGTTCAAGTCTGCTTCCTGGAGATGGGGGTTAGATTAGGACATTTTAGAAAGATCTCCAACACTAAGAGCAGAAATACGAAATACGGTTTCTGGTCAACCTTAATTAATGAGAAAATGAAATTGATCACAATCAGTCATTCCCTAAACATTGTGGTTCACTGAGATTTTCTATTATCATTAGTGTTAGAGCTGAGATTCTTTATGTAAAAGAATATTTACATAAAGTGAATACTATTTTTTAATATTCACAAGTAATAAAATTCACTTAGATGCCCCATGAGGGAACTTCTTAGGATAAGACTGTACATCTGTCTTTTTATCATTCTCATTTTAGTGCTTAAATCATCCATTCAGAAAGACTTTACTGAGTACCCACTATGTGCCAGGCACTGTTCTAGATGCAAGGGATACAGATGTGGACGGACAAAAATCTCTGTCCTCATGTTGCTTATGTATAGGGAGAATACAGCGTCAGTAAACAAATAGATAATTAATATATATTGTATGCTAAGTGACAGTGGTGCAGTGGAGATCAACAGGGCATGGAAAGGAGTTGTGTAGAGATCAGGGAAGGTGGTGAAAGTGGAGGACAGACCTAAAGAAGGTGATGGATGAACCACACCTAGGGTGAGAGCGTCAGGCAGATGAACACCAAGTTCAGAGAACTTGAGCTGGGAGTGTGACTAGCCTGTGTGAGCAATAGCAAAGGAACCAGTGTGGGTGATCTGAATCATCAGAGATTCAGTCCCACAGGTAAGTGGGAATGGAGGTAACTAGACAATGGAGGGCCTTGGGTGCCATCAAAGGGACTTTGACTTTTATTCTGAGAAACGTGAGATGCCATCTGAGGATTATTAACATGTGTATCAAGAGCTTAATAAATGCTTGCTTTAAAAACGAAACAAAAAACGGACATTGTATGCTCCAGCATCTGTAACGTTATCTTTGTATAACTAAACTCATTTCTTTATCTCAGTATCAGTGACCAAAGCCAGAAATTGAACTACCTTTTGCTAAAGAGGTTTAGAACTCTGTTTTAAATCACTTGCTTTATTTAAGGGACTTCAGAGGGATAGGGCATGAAGATAATAACCACATTAAAATGTGACTTTTTTGTTCTAGTTCTTTGGCCAATAATCACATAAAAGCACTCCCAAGGGATGTCTTCAGTGATTTAGACTCTCTGATTGAACTGTAAGTAATGAAAATTAAGTTTATGTGTGCTTGTCTTGAAATCCCCTCTCCCCCTATCCTGCATTTCTTTTTTTATGTTGTAGCTAAAAATCTATGACAAAGTAACGAATACTGGGAAACAGCATATAGTTTGTATTGTGTTAGCTTTGCCATTTTGGAATATACTTGGTAGCATTAGGCCAATGGTAATTCGGCATGCTGGGTCCGGGGGCTTCCTTTCTCCCAGAGAGCAGTAGCTATCCATCTGCGTTGTCTCCTAGTGCTTGTCACTCCTTGCTGGGCAAAGTTTGACAAGATCTTAAAGTTTCAATTGTTGTTCGTCAAAACTATCTTCCCGTAATGTCCTCTTTTTGCTTGTGAGAACCTATGCTGGGTGGTGTTCTTCTGTCACCCCTCCCCCATTTCCACCATGGCGTGGTGACAGTTTTCAAGAGGATTTGGGAAAATGGTGCTGTGTCAACTCTGAGCGCTCTCTGCGTGCTATACGGTTAAAATCATGGGCACTGAAGAGCGTTAAATAAAGTCAGTGGTACGTAAAAGACATCGGATGTATTAAATATACAATTGTAAAAAAATTCCATTTTGGGGAGTATTAAATATGTCAGGATATCAGGATTTCTGGAGTTTCATGTTAGGGCCAAAATATTTCCGACATGTCTGTTTCTCTGTGCCTGTGTTTGTTTTGTTTTTTTATAGAGATTTAAGGGGCAATAAGTTCGAATGTGACTGCAAAGCCAAGTGGTTGTATCTGTGGTTGAAGATGACAAATTCCACTGTTTCTGATGTCCTGTGTATCGGTCCACCAGAATATCAGGAAAAGAAGCTGAATGACGTGACCAGCTTTGACTACGAATGCACAACTACAGGTATTCAGAACCTCTATCGTCAAAGTCTGATATTTAGAATAACCCTTTGTTTTTCTTTTAGACTGTCAACAGGGAGTGGGGAAACATGGGGGTAAAAGTTTTCTATCAAAATTATTTTAGGGGAAATTTAAGCATTCTCAAAGAAATGATTGGATGTGGCAAGGAAAATATCTCAACAGTTTGGAAGGATTTTTGTTAACTGCACTGGCTTCACTTTTGATTCTTTTTGATTCTTTACAAAATTCAAATTTGTCTAAAGATTTTTTTTTTTTTAAGCTCAAAGGTGAGTTTGGCATGAGAACATTTTCAAAGCAGTCTAGGTTTCATATAAAGACAGTACAGAGAGAACTAAGTCACTGTTCTCTTGATTGAATACTATGAAATTTACAGGACATTTACCTAATAAATACCAGACTTTAAAATTTATAAATTGCTTTTGTAGTTCCATGTAAAATGAGATAGCTAGGCATCCTAATCAATGGCAAAGTAGGAATATAAGTTAACAACTAGTTATCAAAAGGAAAAATTCACATTGAGGAAAAAAATGTGAAGAAAGTTTGATTTTGTTTTCCAGAGTCTGCCTCAGGGTTTCAGTTTATACATTCTCAGGTTATAAGATAAAACTAAAATCCTAACTGCCTCAACTGTCATATCTTGTAGAGAGCCCAAGAATATCTCCATATGAAAGGCTTAGATGGAGTTTCTATAGCTTCTAAAAGCCAGATTTTAAAGGAGAGTGGATCAATCCACAGTATGAAACCTGCTTACCGGACTTACAAAAATAAACACTTAGGCTGAGAGTTGGTATCTACAAAGCCTCAAGTCATGTCAGTAGGAGTAGCAGAAAAGAGAACTCAGAAAATAGTTATGGAAACTCAAAAGACAAAAAAACTCTAAGAACAAAATATCACATTTAGGCTAGTCCTACCACTATCCCCCGATCTAATAAACAAACAGACTCAAAAGTAAAAATTATTTCTAGATATCTTTGTAAATAAGGGACCTGACAAGTTCTGTTCTTTTCTGAGAGGAAATCTGAGGTCTTACGGAAATGCCCTTGTCTTTCATCACTGAACAGGGACTTATTCAGCTGTGTAATTGGCAGGTGCCCTTTAGCCAGCTGAGGCCACTGGGGGGTTATTTATTGTATTGTAGAGCAGGGCAATCTATCAGAGGTCACGGTCAGTGACGTTTGCACCAAAAGGTGGCATTCAAGGCCATGCCGTATGAAATGTGAAACCCCAGCGTGCTGGGGCCCGGTCTCTGCCTCTTCTCATTTTTCTGGAGAGTTCTCTAAACCCCACGCTGAAGTGAGCAGCTTTTCCATTATTCTCGTCACTCCCGGCCCTAGTGTGTGACAACGTTGCCGATCTCAGAGAGAAATGGCTTGGACTATAGAGGGCCTTGGAAACTAGGAATCTGTCCTAAACCCAGAATCTCTGGGGCAGCATGAGCCCCTTAACACATTTGGGGGCATTCTCTTATACATACTTATCTTTTCTAACAAGCTTTTCGCTAAAATTTAGGAAGTCAGCCCCCCCTGTCTGGAAGCAGGGAGAAGATGATTCTGTCTTTGCTCTTGTTTTACCCCTTTAAGGCTCATGAACAGATGCGCTGTCACTCACAGGTGTCTTCCATCACGAAAAAATGGTGCCACCAAGTTGTGACCCCTTCCCCCCAAATATAGTCCCTGCCTTTTAAGGACTAGGTCGATAAAGTATGAGTTTTGGGGGTTCCTATCTTCTGGCCCAGATCAAGGCTCACACGCTGGCGCTCTATTTAAGGCCAGGGAGGAGATAGGTGAGGATGGATGGAAGTTGGAAAGCCAAGTCTAAGACTCATGGTACCATGACGGCATCCTCACTCGAGTTCAGGGAAGCAGCACATTTTCTGAGTGCACTGTTTTCCTCTTAGCTCGGGGTTTTAGCAAAGGAGTAAATTCTTCCGGTAGATGTCTCACCTTGTTCTTCCCAGGGAGAGGAGGGTACATTACCATCCTGTTCCTCAGCACAGGGGTGTAATTAACACCCCAAAGCCACCCCTGGCCGGTTTCAGCCCTGCAGCTTAATCAGTCCCTCCATAACCCTCTGCTTCAAGTCTATTTTTAACCACCTCAAAAATCCCTGTTACCTACTCATAATTCCCCATGTTAGGTGGATAATTCACTAAATTCCTTAGAGGGAGTGAATTTTGCATCCTCATTGTCCCGTTAGCTTCCCTATTTCAGGGCTGATGAAAATGCAGAGAGAAATAATGCATTAATGTGCAGTTTCTCTCCCAATAGGATCAGCATCATGTATAATTTATTTTCTGCAAGTGCTATAAATAGGTATGTAAAAATCTGTTGATTCCAGTGGGAGCAAGGCCTAAATTGTAAGAGTCCCACTGACATCATGAACTTAATCCAATGTGAATGGAAGGGGAAGTGCTTTTTGCAGAGAAGGCCATTAATACTTTAACACCAGTAAATGGATGTCGTATCAGCATGTGGATTGTTTGAGATCTTTCCACAATGAATGTGCTTTTGCTGTTTGTGAGAAATAACTTACGATGGTGATGGGGAAGGTGATTAAATTCCCCGAGTCCTCTCCCCCATTCACACAAACACACATTCATCAATCATATTGTTTCACCGGTTTCTTCCCTTCTTCCTTCTTTCTCTTCTCCGTTTTTTTGGACAGGAGCAGCGAAGGGGGAAAAGGAGTCTCTTGTTAAGAATTAGATTTAAACTCGAATGATTTAACAGTCTGTGCTGTGCCAGATAGCCAGTATACAGAAAATATTATGAAACCAATGTTTGGGGGAAATCAATGAAAATAGGACCATGAAAGGCTAGATTTGTAAAATGCTCTGTTTTTTTTTAATACAATTAAAATTCTGGACATTTTTTAAAATTAAAAACTGAAACTTTTGGGTCTGCACTTTAAACGGCCTGCATTTTTAAGCTCACAAGTGCTCGTGTTTCTGAGAATTCAGAGTGTAGTCAGGAAGCTCTGAACGCAAGGAGACAGGAGTGTTGGGAACCTTGGGCAGACTTGGATGAGGCAAGGCAACCGGAGATGCTGGAGGAGGTTATAGACGTCTTGGTGGTAATTAAAAGAACGCAGCTGTATTCTCTGAGTCCTCTCCTACCTCCGGGAAAGAAAGCAGACCGTGACTGCTTCCATTTCCCTTTTTTCCCATTTACCAGCCTGTGAACACGGAAGCCTTTTGCAGCGTTTTCCGACTTCTACACTGGGGCCACCAGGGCCCACAGGAATGAACCAGGGGTTTTTCAGTTTTCAGTCTTTGACCAAAGCAACGCTGGTATTTTGGGGGACTTGATAGAGGAGGGGGAACTGGGATCCATGGTGACTCTTCCCTAAGTCTTCACGCAGGCAGCTTCACACTGTCACTGTTACGCATGTAGAACTCCTGAGGGATCACCGCAGCCGAGGCTGGGCGCTAACACTTAATCCTCACTCTCCTATTCGGCGTCTACAGCAACCTTGTGAAATAGTCATTGCCCTCATTTTACTCCTGGGGAACCTGAGGCTCTTGCTTGAGCTCCTGGAGCTGCAAGTGCAGGCGGGGTAGAAACCAGTCTGTCTCACCTGCCCCAGCT